AGCTATCCCCCTGGGTAGAGTGCCATGGCATCACAGCTCACAGCAACCTCCAACTCCTGGGCTCAGGCGAGTCTCCTGCCTCGGCCTCCCAAGTAGCTGGGACTACAGGCGCCGCCACAACGCCTGTTGGTTGCAGCCATCTTTGTTGTTTTGGCTAGCCCAGTCTGGGGATTCGAACCCGCCACCTTAGGTGTATGTGGCTGGTGCCTTAGCCACTTGAGCCACAGGCGCTGAGCCGAGGGAGTGAACATCTTAACAATATTAAGTTTTATGATCCACAACCACATATGTCTCCCCACTTATTTAGGTTTTTGATTTCTTTCATTAGTGTTATATAGTTTTCAGCACACAGATCCTACATGTCTTTTGTTAGTCATACCTAAGGGCTGGAAACAGTGGCTCACACCTATAATCTGAGTACTTTGGGAGGCCAAGATGGGTAGATTGTTTGAGGCTAGGGTTTCCATACCAGCCTGGACAACATAGCCAGACCCTATCTAAAAAAAAAACTGGTGTGATGGAGCATACTTTTAGTCCCAGCCAAGGTTGTAGTGAGCTGCGATCCTACCACTACATTCAAGTCTACCCAACAGAGTGAGACCTCTCTTTCTCTTGTTTTTTTTTTTTTTTTTGTGACAATCTCATTATGTTGCCCTTGGTAGAGTACCGTGGCATCACAGCTCACAGGAACCTCAAACTTCCGGGCTCAAGCAATTCTCTTGCCTCAGCCTCCCCAGTAGCTGGGATTATAGGCACCCAACACAGTGCCTGGCCATTTTTTTGTTGCAGTTGTCATTGTTTAGCTGGGCCAGGCCAGGTTCAAACCTACCACCCTTGGTATATGTGCCCAGCACCATAACCACTGTGTTATAGGCACCGAGCCTCTTTTTTTTTTGCAGTTTTTGGCCAGCGCTGGGTTTGAACCCGCCACCTCCAGCATATGGGGCTGGTGCCCTACTCCTTTGAGCCACAGGCGCTGCCCACCTCTTTTTTTTTTTTTTTAAAGACAGAGTCTTATTCTGTTGCCCTGGGTAGAGTCCTATGGCATCATAGCTCACAGCAACCTTGAACTCTTGGACTTGAGCAATTCTGTTGCCTCAGCCTCCTGAGTAGCTGGAACTGCAGAGATGTGTTACGATGCCCAGCTTTTTTTTTTTTTCTTTTCTGTTTTTAGTAGAGATGGAGTCTTGGTTTTGCTCAGGCTGGTCTTGAACTCTAAAGCTTAAGCAGTCCACCTGCTTCAGCCTCCCTCAGTGCTACGATTACAGGCATGAGCCACCATGTTCTCCCATTAAATAACATTTTGAAAAACAGTCAACCAAGCTCTTATCATTTTAGCATTTAATCTTTGTCAGCTTACCTATTTTATGTAATTGAGTAATTTACAAGTGGTTAGAATTGTGTATTCTGTTTTATTTTGTTATGTTAAAAGTGTTTCCCTATGCTACATAAGGCATAATAAATTATTTTTATTTCCTGCATGATATCTGACTGATATGAACAGATAGGCTTTTAATCTGCTTAACCTAATACGTAGATAGGGCGAGGTGGTTTACTTATGCTGTAATCCTAGCACTCTGGGAGGCGAAGAATGGTAGATTGCCTGAGCTCAGGAGTTGGAGACCAGCCTGAGCAAGAGTGAGACCTCCATCTTGATTAAAATAAAACTAACTGGGGACTCAGCGCCTGTGGCTCAAGCGGCTAATGTGCCAGCCACATACACCTGAGCTGGCAGGTTCAAATCCAGCCCAGGCCCGCCAAACAACAATGACAGCTGTAATCAAAAAATAGCTGGGCGTTGTGGCAGGCACCTGTAATCCCAGCTACTCAGGAGGCAGAGGCAGGAAAATCGCTTAAGCCTAGGAGTTAGAGGTTGCTGTGAGCTGTGATGGGACAGCACTCTACCCAGGTGACAGCTTGAGGCTCTGTCTCAAAAAAATAAAATGAAATAAAACTGTTCTCATTTTGGGTGGTGCCTGTGGCTCAGTGAGTAGGGCGTCGGCCCCATATACTGAGGGTGGCGGGTTCAAACCCTACCCCAGCCGAACTGCAACAAAAAAAATAGCCAAGCATTGTGGTGGGTGCCTGTAGTCCCAGCTACTCGGGAGGCTGAGGTAAGAGAATCACCTATAAACCCAGGAATTGGAGATTGCTGTGAACTGTGTGACGCCACAGCACTCTACCCAGGGTGATAAAGTGAAACTCTGTCTCTACAAAATAAATAAATAAATGAAACTAACTGGGGATTGTGGCAGGCACCTTTAGTCCCAGCTACTCAGGAGATTGAGATGGAGATCAGTTGAACCCAGGAGTTTGAGGTGGTTGTGATCTAGGCTAATGCCAGGGCACTCTAGCCTGGGGCAGCAGAGTAAGTGAGACTTTGTCTCAAAAAACAAACAAACAAACAAACAAAAAACCCTGCTAGGCCGGGCAGGAGTCTAATGCCCATAGTCCTGGCACTCTGGGAAGCTGAGGCAGGTGGATTGGAGGCTGAGGCAGGTGGATTGCCTGAGCTCACAGGTTCAAGACCAGCCTGAGCCAAAGAAAGACCTCCTCTAAAAATAGCCAGGCAGTGTGGCAGGCGCCTGTAGTCCCAGGTACTTGAGAGGCTGAGGCAGCAGAGTCACTTGAGCCCAAGAGTTTGAGGTTGCTGTGAGCTGTGACGCCAAGGCACTCTACCGAGGGCAACAAAATGAGACTCTGTCTCAAAAAAATAAAAAAAACCTCTACTACCTTAAAGTTGAACATTTAATTTGTTTTCTGTTGTTGTTGTTGTTGCAGTTTTGGTTGGGGCTGGCTTCGAACCCACGACCCTTGGTATATGGGACCGGCACCCTACTCCTTGAGTCACAGGTGCTGCCCTAATATGTTTTCTGTTTTTGCTCTATAAATGTTTACTGTGACCATCTCCTTTTTTCTTTCTTTCTTTAAACAACCTTAAAGTTCCCTACTGAACTGTGATTTCATCTTCCCCGAGTCTGGAAGTGAATTGGGATGTTCTTTCAGAAGGAGCTGGTCTCTGTGAATCCCTAAACACCAGTCTAGACAAATGCTTCCTCCAGAAGGGACTCAACTGGGGAGTTCATCAGGGTTTCTCCAGGTTTAGCAAGTAGCACATAGCACATGTATCTCAAGGAACTTCTGACAGCTTGCTGGTCAAAGGAGGCTATCTGCCTATCCTGGAAACAAAGTGGTGCTCACAGAGTTGATGCCCACTTCTGCTTCCTTTCCTATGCCTCCTCCATCTGACAGCTCTTTGGCAGCTGAGATCTGGGGTGACCATATTTAGTCTAATAACCCCAATGGGTCCCTCCCCATCTTGTCTCCTGAATAGGTAGTGTCCACTGTTGGTAGTGCGGCCACCTGGCCAGGTGCGTGTCAGCCACCAGAACTAACTGTATTGTACCTTGTGTGGCTTTGTCAGCCTCTTTTTTTGCTTGTCAGCGTAGCTAATTAGCCACATTTTCCTCAAATGGGTCAAGTGGTTTTCAGCTCCTGACTGTCCCATGCTGCTCTCTGGTTATTAACTTTTCCTTCAACAGCAAGCAGTACTCCATGCCTCAACAATGCCTGAGACTGCAAACCTTTGCTCCATGTGTGCTCCTAGGATGATAACTGTTGCATAAATAAGTGGATGAGAAGCCTTTATTTTGGGTTCTCTAGCCCAAGGGGACTTTTGTTTTGTGAGCTCTTGAGCCAGTAGTTCATTAAACATACTGGTCATATACAGTTCCTCAGCTGTTTTATATCACTGTCCCATTCTGTTTGTGCACTGAGTTGCGGAGGACTACACCCCATCTGTTCACTCTGGTTCATCTTTTCTGTTCACTCATGCATGTTCTCCTGTGGTCTGGATATTTGTTCCTGTCTTCCTGAGTTCTAGCCCCCTTCCTTGGGATGAGCATGTCCTATGTACTTGGCAGAGAGGACATGAAATAGGAAGCAACTGTGAAGTCTCACCATGAAACAAGGCATAATACACAGTTAGTCCTGGCAGCTGACAAGCTCCTGGGCAGCAAGAGGCCAGAGTCACTTGAATTGTATTCTCAAGCTCAAGAATACCACTGGGAAAGTGATTGCCTGTTGTCATGCACTCTTCTGGGAAAGAACTGTATGTCTGGTTGATTCCACGTTCCCATATGGCTTTGCACTTGAGCAATTCTCAGTGGCTTTATGTTTCTGAAGAATCATCATGTGTAGCAATCAGATCCAGAGCATATTTGGTTCATAATCTAGATTATTGCTAGCAGCTTTTCTCAAGCTAGGGATTGTCCTTCCCTCTCTGATGTGTTCCAGTATAGCACACTCAACAGTTCAGAGACTTGCTGCCTCTTCCTGATAAAGCAGCCCTTTGGGGGACTGGGATGGTCAGTTTCCCCATTCCAGATGGCTTTGTTGGATGATTTGGGCAACATGATTTTAGAGTAGCTGTGGACTTTGCCAGGCGTCTTGTACAACAGAGTCTGTGTTAGGCACTATGAACTGATCAGTGCTTAGCCTGGGGAGAGGATGTCATCTTCTAATTCTAGCTCTTCAAGGGAGGAGTATAGGAGCCAAGTTTGTTAGATGAGAACATTTAGAACAGGAGGCTGCTTAAATAACAGATGGTCAAAGCCACCAGGGCAGCAAATTGCCTGGGTCATTTGCATTGTGTTCCCAAGCTCAAGCCTTTTCAATTCTGAGGCACAGTCTGGTGTGACCAGTCAAGTGCTAGAGATAATTGTCTAAACTTGTGCCAGAGGCTCAGTGCCTGTAGCTCAAGTGAGCTGGTGGGTTTGAATCCAGACTGGGCCTGCCAAACAATGACAACTACAACAAAAAATGGCCAGGCATTGTGGTGGGCATCTGTAGTCCCACCTGCTTGGGAGGCTGAGGCAAGAGAATCGCTTAAGCCCAGGAGTTGGAGGTTGCTGTGAGCTGTGATGCCACAGCACTCTACCCAGGGTGACAGCTTGAGGCTCTGTCTCAAAATAAATAAATAAATAAACTTGTGCCAGAATTAAGCTTTTGCATTAGAAGCAATTGTGGATATAATTGCTTTTTTACTTTTTGTAGGATATGGAACTTGGAACTCTGGGACAAACAGAGGCAAGTATTCCTGTGCTTGGTTATGTTTCTCTGCTACTGTCCACCTTGGCTAGGGTTGTGGGAGTGGGCTTTGGGTGTCCCCTGGGGCCAGGTACTCCTTTATAGGCAACCCTTATCAGAATGGCTAGAGTCCATCCAGCTAGAGTCCAGTCCAACCCAGTGACCTGGGTTCCCACTTTGTATCGTGTTTCTCTCTTTGTCTCTGTCTCTCTTCTGGCCCCTGCCATCTGGCTGTTTCTCTGTTTCCTTCACTGCAGGCTACGAGGGCTATGGCTATGGCTACGGCTATGGTCAGGATAACACCACCAGCTATGGGTATGGTATGGCCTCTTCACACTCTTGGGAAATGCCTAGCTCTGACACAAACGCAAACCCTAGTGCCTTGGGTAGCACCAGTGCCGATTCCGTTTTATCCAGAATTAACCAGCGCTTAGATATGGTGCCACACTTGGAGACAGACATGATACAAGGAGGAGTATATGGCTCAGGTGGAGAAAGGTGAGTGTGTACCTACCTAAGGTCAGAGGCTGTGCATGGGTGCCTCCTGCCTTTCCAGACACACCTCTATGTCTGCTTCTTCCCTCCTTACTTGGTGCTGCTGGGGCTCCCTATGGTGTCCATTGCACTTCCTTCTCTGACCTGTGTTCTCCTCTCACCTACCCCTAACCCTTTCCCTGCTGCCTGGTGGTACCTCTCCCAGCTTACAGGTGGAGAAGCAAGCCCGGATTGGGCTCACTTCATTGTACCCTCAGGATGGCTCATCAAGAACAGAGTGCTTAGTGGCCCTTCCCTCCTGGAAATCCATTTGGAGTTTTCTCAAGACCATGCCTCCTGCATGGTGTCAGGGCAGGACAGATTGGCTTTGGTGTAAAGGGTGGGACCAGCCTTTGGGGCTAATCGCTGTGGGCTGGGTCATCCCCACATATAAGACAGGGCAGACATGGATACTTCTTGGCTACTCCTGTGCCTTACAAACATGCCCCTATTAGAAGCACCTCTGTGAGGAGCTGCTGCCATCCTCATTTTGCAGATAGGGAAACTGAAGTGAGGGCAGGTTACACCCTAAAGACACCCAGTAAGTGGGAAGGCTGGACCTGGCACCCAGATCTGTCCTACCCCAAAGCATCATGCTGTGGGCATTTTCCATTAACTAAACTGGAATTGACCCTAGTGAGAGGCTTCAGTGAAGAGGGCATACATATCTCTGGTATAGTATGCAGCAGAGCTCTGGCAAACAGATGAGAGAGACCAGAGAGTAGGGAGAATCCTGGCTGGGCACTGATGGAGCCAAGTGAGGCCCCAAGGCTGCACTAAGTAAGAGGGCAGGGCACAAGGAGACTTGCTGGCATTGTCCCTGAGCCAACAGCTGCAACACTTAGAGCTGAGGGATTAGGGTGGAGGGTTTGGGCTTGCCTTGTACTATAATTTCTTGCCAAAGCTTGGGGGCAAGGAGAGCAGTGGCAGCACTGGCTGTTGCTCCCACAGCTGGTGCTTCCTCCTTTGGCCCAGATCTGGGGAGTAGGGTGCAGGGAGGTATCCTTGTTTCTGTGAGGCCTGTGGGGATGTGGGTTGCAACTATAGTTAAAATGGCTATCTGCAGTGCCCTTTCTTTCCTGAGCAGGAGGTCTGGCCTACCTTCCCAGTTGCTGTATAAGGTTTGATGTCTAACCCTGGGCTGCAGGGTAGATTGGATACAGCTCTTTTTCTGGCCCCTGGGCAAGCTCTCGATGTCTTTCCTGGAAAACACTCCCCCTTTTGTCTTATTTCTTTTTCGATGGTGAGGGGCTTTGGAGAGTTTGGGTTCCTCCAGCTATATAGATTGAGACCAACAGTGTCTCTCATGGGCATTATCAGTGTCATTGGCCAAACATTCATTCACCGTGCCCATATCTTGCATGGTGCTGGGATGCTAGGCCCTGCCTTCTAAGGAGCAGCCTTAGGCGTTGTGGCTGCCATAGTTGGTACATGTGTTAGAAAGGGCCATGGTGGGGCAGCGCCCATAACTCAGTAGGTAGGTCACCGGCCACATACACCAAGGCTGGCGGGTTCAAACCCAGCCCGGGCCTGCTAAACAACAATGACAACTACAACAAAAAAATAACCGGGCATTGTGGTGGTCGCCTGTAGTCCCAGCTACTTGGGAGACTGAGGCAGGAGAATCACTTAAACCCAAGAGCTGGAGGTTGCTGTGAGCTGTGATGCAACGGCACTCTACTGAGGGCAACATAGTGAAACTCTGTCTCAAAAAAAAAAAAAAAATGGCCATGGTGGGAGTCATTCTTCCCCTCTCAGCTGTCAGTCTTAGGTCACCAAACTGGTTCATGGTTACATTCAAGGTTGGGACAGTGGGGCCCCTATGAGGATATCATCTGAGGGGCCCTTTCTGCTTCTAGAGCTCTCTACTCCTAAGAGGCCAGAACCTTTTAACTGGCATCTCTGAACATTGACCCTCCTAGAAAGGGCAGGGTGGGTGCTGGAACTGGGCTTCCTGCCCTGGGACCAGGAAGTTGTAGAAGGGGTAGGAGCAGACACCTGGAGGTGTGGGACCTTGAGAGGGCTTCACCTGATCCTTTCTTGTGCCTCTGCAGATATGACTCCTACGAAGCCTGTGATTCAAGGGCTGTCCTGAGCGAGCGTGACCTGTACAGGTCAGGCTATGACTATGGCGAGCTTGACCCTGAGATGGAAATGGCCTATGAGGGGCAGTATGATGCCTACCGCGACCAGTTCCGCATGCGTGGCAACGACACCTTCGGTCCAAGGGCTCAGGGCTGGGCCCGGGATGCCCGGAGCAGCCGGCCTATAACCTCGGGCTATGGGCGCATGTGGGAAGACCCCATGGGAGCCCGGGGCCAGTGCATGTCTGGTGCCTCCCGGCTGCCCTCCCTCTTCTCCCAGAACATCATCCCTGAGTATGGCATGTTCCAGGGCATGCGAGGTGGAGGCGCCTTCCCAGGCGGCTCCCGCTTTGGCTTTGGCTTTGGCAATGGCATGAAGCAGATGAGGCGGACTTGGAAGACTTGGACTACAGCTGACTTCCGGGTGAGTGGAGGTAGCCTTCCCCTTCTGACCCCTGAACATGCCATACTCGGGGATGATGTTCTGGGAGGAGAGGGAGGGCAGCTGGGAGGCGCCAGACATACACTGGCCCTGGGCTCTCATAGGGTCTTCCCACATGCTTCCTACATGTGCAGCAGAGGGCCAGGAGCCACCTACCTGACCCAATCTCTTCATTCTGACCCAGACCAAGAAGAAGAAAAGAAAGCAGAGTGGCAGTCCTGATGAGCCAGACAGCAAAGCTACCCGGACGGACTGCTCAGACAATAGTGATTCAGACAATGGTGAGCCTGGGTGGCTCGGGTCACTGCCTCTTTCCCCTGTGAGACACCTGGACTTAGCTTGCCTCCTATCCTTTTTCAGATGAGGGCACCGAGGGGGAAGCTGCAGAAGGCACTGAAGGCACAGAGGCTACAGAGAAGGGCTCCAGAGCAGTAAGTAGCCCCTGGCCTTGGGCACTTACTGTCTGTAGGTGGGGCCTGTGACCACCAAGCTGGGCTGTAGAGCAGTGTTCCCCACAGGGGCCACACACGGGTAATGCTATATTAGTACTGTATACGCAGGTCACCAGCACAAAGAGGCAGTATGGCCTGGTAGAAAGCACAGGGTCCTAGCCAGAGGTGTGGTTTTCTTGTGGGAAAATGGGGGGAGCAGGCACTCTGTGCCAGGTAGGGTATGGAGAAAGATACGAGACTCCTGGCACATAACTGGGCCTTGTCACTTAGAGCTGTTATAAATAACTCCACGTTTTAATAATTGGATTTTGAAATTGTATGTTAGGAAGGAGAGGATGAGGAGGGAAAAGAGGATGGGAGAGAAGAAGGCAGAGACGATACAGAGAAGGGTGAGTCTTCCAAGGTGCCTGGGAACTGGGGTAGCTCTTCCAGCTGCTTGCAGTGGGAGGGATCTGTCTGAGGGCACAGTTGTGGCATATATGTGCCCAGCTTGGGGCTTTTCTTGTGGGGCTGAGTATGTGCTAGCAGGGGACTCTTCTTTCTCCTCCTCCTCCTCCTTCCCACTCTGCCCCATTTTTCTCATGCAGAGGCAGTGGATGACCCCTGCTTAGCACATTGGTTTTGCCTTCAGATGGGGGCAGCAACAAAAATGTGGGGAACCCCAGGCACACCCCTTACCCTTGGTCCCTCAGTAACATGCAGTTCCGAGTCCTCAATGGCTGGTATCCGAACTGGGACCCTTGGTGCAGTTTTTACGGCTCTGGTTTGCGTGTCCTCTCCCTTAGCGCCTCTCCAGCCCCTGTTGGGAGTCCGTGTCCCCCCACCTGAGTGATGAGCGTCAGCAGGTACCTAACAGTAAATCCAGCCTCAGCCCACTGTTGCCGCGGTGCCCGGTGGGGGGTGGTCAGGGCCATATAAGTGGCCTCCCTACGTCCCACCATCCAGCTTCTCTGAACATATGCCAGTGTCCCCACCAAGACAGCCCCTCTGTGCTTTCTAGCCTCTTATAGGCCCACACTGCAGAGAGTGTGGGTGTTCTAGAGAGCAAAGGGGTCAATGCCTGGCCCTCCCTCCTTAGGGCCTAGGTCATACCCATTCCCTATCCAACCCTGTTTGTGGCCAGAGGCCTTGCTTGGACAACTGTTCTCAGATGGACCCTCTGGAGTGGACAGTGGGTGATTCAGCCAGAGGCCACAGGGCCTGCCTTTTCCTGACAGAGCCAAGCTGGTGATTGTGCTTGTCTGTTTCTACAGGGTCCCTGACCACCCAGGATGACAATGACCAGGCCAAGCGCAAGTTGCAGGCAAGCAAGAAGAGCCAGGATAAGCAGAAAAAGCGGCAGCGAGACCGCATGGTGGAAAGGTAACCAACCAGTTTCCCTCCACCCCTTTGCCTCTGCCTCGCATGGGGCTGCCGCCAAGAGAGCAGAACTATAGCTCTGCCATCTCGCCGCCCTCTGGCCTCCCTTGGGAGCCACCACCTGCTCAGCCGTGCATGGACCCTGCTTCCCGCCAGGCCCAGCTCCCAAGGCCTGACTCGTCCCCTTCCCCTCTGCGGCCGCCTGGCGACCGCTGGCATCTGTGGCCTGAGACCCGACACAGCTCGGCACCGTTGCTCAGAAGCTCCGGCGCTAGGTCACTCAGCGCACAAGTCCCGAGGTGCACTGGGGGCCCGATGCCCCTGAGGGAGGGGGCCAGCTCATCAGAGACTCAAGGTCCAAGGCGCCTGTGCTGTCCCAGCTAGTTGCCAAGAGGCCGCCGCCGTGCCCAGGAGAGATGGCAGCACCTGTGGGCTATGGCAGCCTCGGGCCTGCCCTCTGCCCTGCCCACCGGCCCTGTCAGGCCGGGCCTGTCTGCGGCTGAGTCCTTCACGCCCCTTGGTCGGGTCTGTCTGCCCTCAGGGCTCCCGCACTGGCGCTTGCCTCCTCCTCCTCCGCCTCAGACTCTTGCTCTTGCTGGACCTTCCTCAGCCTCGCCGGCGCCCGGCCCCTGGGCTCTCCAGACAAAGCTGACCCCGTGGCCCAGATAAGGACGTCCGGCAGAGGTAGGGACCCGCCCTGAGGCCTCGGTGGCGGCTGGCCTCCTCCGCCCCTTGCCACGGCGGCCTGTTCCAGCCTAGGCCCCAGACCCCGGGCTTCTGCTGTGGACACCAGGCCCAGACAGAGCACCTCGCCCAGGTGACTCCAGGCTGCCCTCTGGCAGGCCGGGCGGGCGCTCTCCTTCCAGCTCAGACTGGTCTCTTCTTGGAAGAGGAAGATGAGGCAGCAGGTGCCCAGGCCTGCTTGCCTCCCATCCCTCCCGACACCACCCCCAAGCATTCTGAGCAGAGGATGGGCTGGGCCTTTGAGTCCCCCAGACCCCAGAAGGAAGATGCAGCACCTTTTCGGGCCCTGCCTCGGGACTGCGTACTCCACTCTGCACCTCAGGGCCACCTGGCTCACGCCAGGGCATCTTTCCTTCCGGTCCCCATCTGGGCCAAGTACACAAGCTCCTGCCCAGCCTTGGTAGAGAGGCCCTCCGGCAACTTTCCAGCGACTCCTTGCCTGTTGCAGTAGCAGCTGCCCCGGGCTTCAGCCTCCTGCCTGTGGGAAGGAAGAGCTCCTCCCCTGTCCCCTACGTTGCAGAAACTGCAGGCTGCAGACTTCCTGTCCCTTTCTACTCCCAGTCCCACTGTCCCAGCCTGTCCCTCTGCTGGGACCACACTTCAGAGGCCCAAGAGCAAGGCCTGTTTGAGGGCCTGCATCTGGGTTGGGTGAGGCAGCAACACTGTCCCCTGGAATCCTCACAGCCTCAGCCCCTTTTCCTTCCTGTGGCAGGATCCAGTTTGTGTGTTCTCTCTGCAAATACCGGACCTTCTATGAGGATGAGATGGCAAGCCACCTTGACAGCAAATTCCATAAGGAGCATTTTAAGTACGTAGGCACCAAGCTCCCTAAGCAAACGGCTGACTTTCTGCAGGTAAGCCTTAGAGAGCTGCTGCTCTTAGTTTTTCAGGAGTCTTGGGACATAGGGCAACCTATATGAACCTCAATATCTCTGGCAGGAGTATGTTACCAACAAGACTAAGAAGACAGAGGAGCTCCGAAAGACAGTGGAGGACCTTGATGGTCTGATCCAGCAGATCTACAGGGACCAGGATTTGACTCAAGGTAAGGTTTCATCCTGCTCCCACCTGGCAGGATGGTTCTCAGTCTGTCCTCTGGTTCTCAGTATAGGTCACCACGCCTTTCTATTTCTCCAGGGAAGGTCAGTGAGAATAGCTTAAGACCCATGTGGAAGTTTACGGGGATTTGAGAAGCTGGGCTAATTCTCTTCCCAAACTTGGGGATCTTTATTAGGTACCTGGGACCAGTAGTAACTCACTCCTTTATTCCCCTACAGAAATTGCTATGGAGCATTTTGTGAAGAAGGTGGAGGCAGCCCATTGTGCAGCCTGTGACCTCTTCATTCCCATGCAGTTTGGGATCATTCAGAAACATCTCAAGACCATGGATCATAATCGGAATCGCAGGGTGAGTGGCCACAGATATCTCCCTCAATCCTGTGCAGGGACTGAGTGAGGCCTCTGGGGAGGTTATGTGATCATAACTTCTGCCTAATTCATGATGAATTGCAGCAGAGGCAGGGGCAGGTAGATAGGAACATTTCCACACCAATGGAATCAGTACAGCTACAGAGTCAGGGGTGGCCAGTGGGACTCTACCTGGGAGAAGGTGACATCAGAGCTGGACCTTAAGGAGCATTATGCTATGGGATATAGGGATCTCCATGTGCATAGGGTCCAATAGCCAAATTAAGTTCAGAAACCAGAAATGTATACATTGCAGATGTTTCTGGAAGACAGAGTTTGACTTTGAGGTTCATGAGGACTGCTCTGAGGAATCTGGGCTTATTCCTTTAGACAGTGAAGTTTTAGTCCTGAGGGACTAAAAGGATTAGAGTTGGTACTGAACAAGAGACTTCAGTTCTCAGTGCAGTGACTGTCAGTAATGGGACCAGGTTGGTGGTTGTGGAAACTCAGAATTGAGAAATGTCACCAAAAGACCTAGAAAAATAAAGATATCCATTGGTTTGGCAACGTAGAAGCCTCAGATTCTTGGGTTGGAAACTCATAGAGGTTGGGAGAGAGAAGATTGCACGGGATACAAAGCACATGGCATTAAAACTTTTGGAAAATCCAAGGAGAAATGAGTGATAGCAAAATAAAAACTCAAAATTCATCCTGAAAGAAGTAAAAGATGGAAGAAAAAGATCGTAACAACTATTAACTATAGGGAGGTTTGGAAGGTTGATGAAAGATACTTAGACGACAACCAGAAGTAGTTGTTTTATTGAGATAATTTGAAAACAGTTTAAATACTATACTTTTTAAAATTCTAGGATACAGGAGCCTCTCTCTGTCTAGGTACCTACCTGGCTTTCCTCCTTCCCCAACAAACACCCCCTCCCCCCCCCCCAAAAAAAATTCAGACTGTAGAAATGGAGTGTTTCTAATTATACTACTTGTCGGGGTGGATCTTGCTATTTTGCCTAGGCTTGACTTGAACTTAGTCTTGCCACTGAAGCCCCCTGAGTAGTTGGGACTACAGATGCATGCCACAGTACCCATCTAATTGTTATTACTTTTTTGTAATGCAGGATTTTTTGTTGTTTTTTTTTTTGAGACAGTCTCAGGCTGTCACCATGGGTAGAGTGCTGTGGTGTCGTAGCTCACAGCAACTTCCACCTCTTGGGGTCAAGCAATCCTCTTGCCTCAGTTTCTTTTTCTATTTTTAGTAGAGATAGAGTCTCGCTTTTGCTCAGGCTGTTTTCGAACTTCGTGAGCTCAAGCTGTCTACCCACCTTGTCCTCTCAAAGTGCTAAGATTACAGGCGTGAGCCACTGTGCCCAGCTTTATTATCACTTTTTTTTTGAGATAGTGTCTCACTTTGTAGCCCTCAGTAGAATTCCATGGCGTCACAGCTCACAGCAACCTGAAACAATTGGGCTCAGGCAAGCCCCTTCTCTTATCCTCCTGAGAAGCTGGGACTACAGGCACCTGCCACAATGCCCAGCTACTTTTAGAGACCAGGTCTCACTCTTAACTCAGGCTGGTCTCAAACCTCTAAGCTCAGGCAATCCACTCGCCTTGGCCTCCAAGATGCTAGGATTACAGGAATGAGCCACCTTGCCCAGCCTATTATTATTACTTTTGATAACAGCTTTACTGAGCTATAATTTACATATGTGTTCAGTTCACCCATTTATGGTGTACAGTTTGGTAGTTTTTAGTGTATCTAGATTTCTGCTGCCATCCCCAGAATCAGTTATAGCACATTTTCACCACCTCATAAAGAATGTATATTGTTTAGCTCTTAACTCCATCACCATCCTACCATCCTCACCTAGCCTTACACAGTTATTAATCTGTCTCTTTGTGTTTGCTTATTATGGATATTTCAGATAAATGGAATAAATATGTGGTCTTCTGTGATTGGCTTCTTTCAATGAGCATAATGTTTTAAGTTGCATCCACATTATAGCATGTAACAACTTCATTCTTTGTGTGGCCTATTATTCCATTGTATAGAGTGGACATCTGGAGCATTTGGGTTGTTTTCAGCTTCAGGTATTATGAATAATGCTCATAGAAACATATGTATACAAGTTTTTAACTTCTTGCAGAGTGATCAGACTGTTTTCAAAGGGGCTGAACTGTTTTACATTTCTTCCAGCAACGAATGTATGAGTGTTCTGATTTCTTAAGATCCTTGCCAATATTTGTTATTATATGACTTTTTGATCTAGTCATCTTACTGGATAGAAGTGTTAATCTCATTGCAGTTTTCATTTGCATTTCCCTGATAACTGACTAATGGCATTTTTTCATGGGCTTGTTTTAGCCATTTGTATACCTTTGGAGAAATGTTTATTCAAGTTCTTTACCCATTTTTAAATTGTGTTGTGTTTTTGGATTGTTAGATTTCTTTAGATAAAAGTCCCTTATTTGAAAATTGCAAATGTTTTCTCCCTTTCTTTGGGCCTTTTTCACCTTCTTGCTTTGTCCCTTGCAGCATAATATAGTTTAATTTTGAGTAAATCCAACTTATCTATTTCTCTTTTATTGCTTGTGCTCTGGGTGTCATAACTAAGAATCCATTGACAAATCCAAGGTCACAAAGATTTACCCTTATGTTTTCTTCTAAAGGTTTTATGGTTTAAGCTTTTACAAGTAGGTCTTTGTTCCATTTGAGTTTAGATAATTTTTCATTTTTTAATGGTATGAGGTTTAAGGATCTAACTTCATTCTTTTGCATGTGGACATACAATTGTCCAAGCACCCCATTTGAAAAAGAAAGGAAAGAGACTATTTTCTCCCTTATTGAATTATCTTGGCACCCTGTTGAAAATCAGTTGACCATAGCTACATGGGTTTATATCTAGACTCTAATCCTATTCACTTGTTCTGTATATCCATTTTTATGTCAGTTGGTACTCTAGCTTTGTAATATTTGAAATCAGGAAGTACAAGTCTTTGAACTTAGTTCGTCCTTTTCAAGATTGTTTTGGTTATTCTATGTCTCCTGAGTTTCCATGTGAGTTTTAGGATCAACTTGTCAATTTCTCCAAAGAAGCCAGCTGGCATTCTATCAGAATTCTATCAGAATTGTGGTCAATGTCTAGATCAGTATGGTGAGTATTGCCATCTTTACAGTATTAAGTCTTCTAACTGTGAATATGGGATGTTTTTTCATTTACTGAGATCTTTAATTTTTTTAAGTGTGCTTGTTTTTCAGAGTGTAAATTTTGTGCTATTTTTGTTAAGTTTATTCCTGAGTATTATTTTTGATATTATTATAAATGGAATTTTTTCTTAACATTTTTGGATGATTCTTTCCATGTGTATAAAAATACTATTTTGGCTTGGCGCCAAAATAGTGGCTAAGCTTGCCAGCCACATACACCTAAGGTGATGGGTTCGAATCCAACCTGAGCCAACCAAACAACAAGGCTACAACCAAAAAAAATAGCTGGGCGTTGTGGCAGGCGCCTGCAGTCCCAGATACTTGGGAGGCTGAGGCAGGAGACTCGCTTGAGCCCAGGAGTTGGAGGTT